TAATATAAAGTTACATACTAGAGTTGATAAACAAGGGGCCTCTCGTTTCCACTGACCACTCTGTCGTATACTCGTATCCATTACTGGGTTTCGTTAGCGCTGCAGTGCGCATGCGCGAAAAGGTGACTCGCATAACAACACTGCTCTTGCGTTGCCATTCCCCGTGCGTTCGCGTCAGTTCGCGTCGTCCAGTCGTGCAGTACGTTGCTGATTCGAGGCGTATTCGTGGAGAGGCGTCGCTCGCTTGTTCGAGACAGGAAAATAATCAGGTGAGTCGTCTCGCCGTGACGAGCGCGCGAGATACCCGAGTCGATCGAGCGACGCGCGGCGGGCGTTTCCTCGCGCTCGGGGAAAATCTCGCGAAAAACACGTCGAGGTGGAAAAACGTCCGTGCGTCGCGCGGGTGGGAAAACGCGAGCGGTTTCCGCGGCGACGCGCGTGACTCGGGGGGGGAGACCGCAGCACGCCTCGCGGGGAAAAGTGGTGCTCGGCGGCGATCGCCATCTTGTTTATTGTGTGTGTGCTCATTACTTTTGGAGGGAAATCGACGTCGCGATAACGCTCGCGCGTAAGCGTCGCGCGCCCGAATTCGTCGGGACTCGCGATCCCGCCCGTATTTTCGCGTATTCCCGAACTCCCGGGGGAATCGCGCGACGGGTATCCAGTGATCGTCCCGTCTTTTCCTCTTTTTTTTCTTTCTCCGTTCCGCCCTTTCTCTTCCTCTGCCCGTCTCCCGTCTTCCCTCTCCCCCTCCTCCACGCTCTCCATTGTGTGCGTTACACGCGCGGGGGTCACAGATTGCTGTCCCCCCCCCCCTCCCTTCCCTCTCGCCGCTCGTCCACCGAGTAAACATATATAACGTGTGGTGCTTTGTCCCACTACAGGGACCCTGTCGGGCATTAGAAAGGAAAGGAAAACGACGAAAACTCACGCGTAGTCATGGCACGTACCAAGCAGACAGCTCGTAAGTCGACGGGTGGAAAGGCGCCCAGGAAGCAGCTCGCCACCAAAGCGGCGCGTAAAAGCGCGCCGTCCACTGGAGGCGTCAAGAAACCTCATCGTTACAGGTACGCGTATATGTGTATACGTATGTATGGAAAACGCAAGAATGTTTGTACGAATGTAAACTCGCGTTTGACAGATCGTCTATTTCGAGAATAATACAAATGACCGTCAACTTGACATTCCTAAGAAATTCTGAATAACAATTTTGACCGTATTTCTAATTTGTAAAGTTCAAATGATATTGAAAAAAAAAATAATTTATTAGTTACATGTAGTTATACATCATTTTAAATAATAATTTAATATATTTAATATTTTAATATATTAATTAAGTTTATTATTTATTAATTATTTTAGCAACACTTTATATTTGTCTTTGAAAATCAAAATTAAAAAAAAACAACAGTTTACTTTTTAATCAAACGCATTAATTTTTTTTAGACATTTTCTGTGTTATCTTGAATGTGTGTTGTTCTCAGGCCCGGTACTGTTGCCCTTCGAGAAATTCGAAGATACCAGAAATCTACCGAGTTGCTGATCAGGAAATTGCCGTTCCAGCGTCTGGTGCGTGAAATTGCTCAGGATTTCAAGACCGATTTGCGTTTCCAGAGCGCCGCTATAGGCGCCCTCCAGGAAGCGTCGGAGGCTTACCTGGTCGGCCTGTTCGAAGACACGAATTTGTGCGCCATTCACGCCAAACGTGTCACGATCATGCCAAAAGACATACAGCTGGCGCGGCGAATTCGCGGTGAACGCGCTTAAGCCGTACGCGAGTACACAGAGCGTTCTCATTTTATTATCATTTGGACATTGTATGTTTCTGAACGATCCAAAATTCTTCTTGACTCTCTTCCGTGTATATTTATCATAGTTAACACACTGCCAACCGCTGTAATAGATACCAGGATTTAAAAAAAAAAGACGTAATAGCGAGCCTTCGTTGGACTTTCCGATTCAACGAGACGCGATTCACAATTCGTACAATGATTAAATTAAAAAAGAAAAAGTCAGGATTAAAATACATTAAAAGAAGATCGATAATTGCTTTTTTTTTTAACTTGAGAAAATCGTCACAGAAACGGCCATTAGTTTTTTTTTCTTACATCTAAATATATAGCAAAAATAAAACACGTGCAGCAATATATACCACACATAGAAATCACGTATTTCTTTCTTTAGTAGAACGCCGGGTATCACCGCTTAATTTTAAGAACGCTTCATTTAAGGAACTTAATTTTTCTCGGAGTTCGTATTCAGTTCGACCTTTAATAAGTCGTACGATAGACCAAAATTTATTAGTTATATGTATCGGTAATCGCTATGTGTGCACTTTTTCATATAAAGGGATATATCTACCTGTACTGAGAGGAGTAAATAGAACAGTAACAGATATACAGAGGAATACTGGTAGTTATTACCATCGCAGCCCCTGCACGTGGAACGCCCGGCAAACGCTCGGCCGCGTGGACAAGCGTCGCCGCGTCCCGCGTGCAGATTGCCCTTAGTTGTTTATTATAATATCATTACACAACGCATATAGTTCGGTCCTCACTTCTTTAGAACTCTCAAAAAATTGACCTGTAGTGGATATGTCGCGCATATTAAGTATAATATATATATATTATAAATATATTGTAAGAGCTTAGAGAGCATAGGTGTTTTATGTCCGCGTCAGAAATTTCATTTAATAAATACATACATAATGTACACATTATTATTGAAGATGCGACAAGAAGGCTGCAATTGACATTGCACACGTAAATTGCAGATCTCTTTTGCAGAGACGTTCGGAAGATAGATATTATAGAATATTAAAAAAATTTTTCTTTTTGTTTCTTTTTGACTGTCGTATAAATTACTATTGATTAAAGAACTCTCTCCCGAGAGAGAGGGAGAAAGAATGAGTTTATCGTTCCAAATGCAGCCTTCTCGCCGAGTTCGCAATTATAGGTTGTAATTATCTTAACGATTATACTACTAACTGAATGATTGTAACGACATTATAACAAAATACATTTTCTAATGGATGTAACGAACGTTGCTTCATGTATCTCGTCTTTTTTCTGTGTGATCTGATACGTATCGTCGCGTTGATAGAGAAGTAACAGAAGTTACAAATTGACATTCAGGATATCGGGATCAATTTCTTCATATTAATTGTCTCAAAAATATTAATTCTTGATTCGTAAAACTTTTCTATCACGCGGCGATATAGATATACGTGTAAGTTCTTTTAAAACAAAAATGTAAGAGATCGGGCCGTTGGGTGTCCTTTTAAATCTTTGTATGTTTTCTGTTGGTATATTTATTTATAGTTGGTATATTTACAGTTTACACAGATGTATATCGCGCTTATATCCGGGCTCTAAAGCCGCGTGGGATCGCGCGCGTGCGTGCGCGTCTCCTGTGCAGGCATTTGCGCGAAGCTGCACGTCGCTATCGATTCGCGCGAGCCCACGCCGATGAGGCGCGTTGTGACGCGCGCGGACGCTCTATGGCAATCGCGTCCCGCACGGCGCGCAAAAATCTAGCGCGAGAACGTGCGTGCGCGCACGTTTGCTCGCGCGAGGCTCTTATTTCCCACTGCGTCGTGCATGATGCGTGCATCTCTATCTCTCTCTCTCCTCAACTACAGGCCGGGCATCGATCTCTCACCGATTTCGCGGATCGATACGCGGCGCCGTAAAGCCGTAACAGCGCGAAATAGTCCTCTGCCCCTACGTCACGAGCCGCCGCGCGGGGGGCCCCGCTCGCGTTATTATCGCTCGCGATAGCCCGCCTTTCTCCCGAGTCCCGTGTAACAACTAAACAGTAGGCAGTAGCGTCGCGTCGCCGCTTTTCGACACACGCACGCATCCTCTCGCGCGCTCCTTTTTTTTCCTCTCGCCCTCCCCCCCCCCCCTCTGTTGCGACCTGTGGATGACAGGGATAGCCCGGGGATCAGCCAAGCGGACGATATCACGAGAGACTTTTACGCGTGGCAATTAAGCTGTGAGTATATACGTATACCCTCCCCCCCTCGCTTCCCGTCCCCTCCTCTCCCGGGAGAGGACGAAACTTGGGGGACTATTTCGCGCGGATAATCGTCGCGAGGACGCGCGCGGAGTAACCGTCGTCGTCGTCGTCGCCGACGCGCGCGCTCGATTTTCCGCCTCGCGGTTCTTCCTCATCAGCGCGAAAACGCGGCCTCCTCGGTGAGGGGAAGAGAGCGGGAGGGGAAAACAGAGTACCTTCCCCCCCCCCCACCCGGGAGCGTCTAATTAGCCGCGAGTACAAGCGGGGTATCTCTCTCGGCGTCTTTCTCGTCCTAGGTTAACACGAGCGAGAGAATTCAGGTTAAAACGCGCCGACCGCATAGCGGTCGGCCCGACGACGACGACGAGCGGGGTCGCGTCGCGCACGTCCGCGGAGACAAAGCAAAGCGATCTCGACCTCCCTGCCCTGCCCCTTCCCCGGCACCCCACGGCCATATCCTACATTTATAGCGCCGTCGAGTTGTATGCGGGCATGCGGCCGACTGGTTCTCAATTCGAGGCGGTCGATTTTGCGCGCGCGCGCGCGATTCCTATTTGCTTTTGTTAAGAGAGTGGCAATTGTGTCTCGTAGCCCGCTCCCCCCTTCCTTCCTTAATCGTGCCGTCCACGACCGCGGCCGGCGGTAACGGAGGAACACGAAAACGCGGAAAGGGGCAACGTGACGCGATCAGCGTTGGTCCGAATAAAGCGCGATAATGCATACACGGCGGTCACGTGAGAACGCGGAGTTACGCGCGAGCGTAAAAGCCACAGCGGCGCGGCGTCTTCCTCCTCCTCTTGAGCCGCGCAGCACGGGGACACGTCGCGTCGCCGTGCCGCGCGGCTCAGCTCTCTCGCTCGGTTCTACGTCGTTTTATTGATCTCGCTCGCGCCCCGTCGGGAAATCGTCGCCGCTCTCCATGTTCTCTCTCTCTCTCTCTGTCTCTCGCACGCCGCCAGGCATTTACATCCCTGAAAACTCATTAGATTTCCGCGGCGTCCATCGATCCATCGAACTCGCCTGCCGCCTCTCCCCCGGCTCTCTCTCCTCGCCGTGCGAGATGACCGAGAGCTTCCGTTTCTGTATATGCGACGCGCGTGCGACACCGTCCGCGTTCTTCCGCGCGCGCTCCTCTCTCGGGCGCGCGCGCGCGCGGGTACATACGGAGAATCGTCGGTGCCGAGGCGACGGGAGTGGAGGGTATGACGGCGACGCGGGAGGTGATGGAGGTGATGGCGTAGGCGAGGAGGTGACCGGGGCGGGAGGGGAGGGGTCCCAACGCGGTCGGGAGAGCGTATCGTAGTACATGCGATTTCGAGGCGATTGACAGGGCACTCGCGCCGCACTCGATGCAGCCGGGCGACCAATGGGGCGCGCCGGCCGGCCGACGGCCCATCGCCGGATTGGCCCCGGCGGCGCACCGCGGGCTCCTACGTGCCTCTCGCGCGATTTAATTTCCCGCGGCGAGACGGCGGCGGCGGCGGCGGGTGGCGGCGGGTAGGCGCGGGGCGGCGCGGGGGCGGGTAGGGACGCGCGAGAGAGCCGTGGACTCGGGAGAGCGTCCACTGCCATCGGAGTGTGCGAGGAAACGGATAGTGTATCTAGTTCGCTTCGCATCCCCGCTCGTGGCCCGATAACCCGCCTCAGGTAGGTGAAGCTCAGGTAGCGGATCCGCGTGTCGAATCCTCCGGTGTGATCGCCCTCGTGCGCGCCCGCGCGCCCAGGAGCGACCGGGTGGACGCGGGACCGACGAGATTTCGGGAAAAATCCTCCCCCGGATTTTCACTGCCGCCGCCGCCGCGTACCGTCCGCCACCATTTTGCGACTGACGTTCGCGTTGCGGGAACGCGCCGCGACGACGACGGCGGCCGCGGCGGCCGCCGTTCCGGTTTCGTCCCGGGTTTCGCCGTGCGAGCCGATCTCCCCCGCGGGAGCGTCGTCGTCGTCGGATTCCGCGTGCCCGATGATCGGGGAATTCGGGGATCTCGGGCGACGACGCCGCTCTCCGCCGCGGACGCGAATTCCTCGGCTGACAGCGCGTGGGTTTTTTTTTTCTTCCTCTTCTCTCCGTTTCTTCCTCTCCCTCCCTCTCCTTCGCGCTCACCCCCCTCCCCTCACCACTCCCTACCCCATTACAGCTCTACCTCCTCGCCGTCGCGCCGCGGGGGGAGAACGAAAGTTCGTGCATTGCGCAACGCGCGCAGCGCGGAGCGGCGTTTTCTCGGTGCGCGCGGCGGTCTCTCCCTCCGCGCGTATGTATGCACACCGCGGCAACGAGTCTTGCACCCCCTCCGCCCCTCTACCCCTCCGCCCCGCGGCTATTATCGCCCCTCTATCGTTTTCCCTACCACCACCGCCGCCGCCGCCGTGCACTTTTCCCGTTCCTTCGTGCTTATCCGTTCTCTAAGCATCGCTCGGCAATTGGCATCGCTATACGCGTCATCGCGCGCCACCGATTAGAAATTGTCAATGACCACACAGCCCGCCTGCAATTCCATGCAGCCCATTAACAGCGCAAGCCGCGAGTCTCTTCCTTCCCTCCTCCCCCTACCGCGACGGAAGGGAAAAAAACCGTACCGACAGCGTCGAACGCGGCCGTGCAAATTAAAATCCCCCCTTCCCTCTGGGTTCCCATTATCTCTAGAATCTCTAGAAATTTCTTCGCGTTTCGCGGAATTTCTCCCCCTTGATCACTCTCTGGATACACGCGGAATAGGCACCTATATAGTCTCTAACTATAATTATTGCCGCACGCAGGTTGAATCATGGCGCGTACCAAGCAGACTGCCCGTAAGTCGACGGGAGGAAAGGCTCCCCGCAAGCAGCTCGCGACGAAGGCGGCCAGGAAGAGCGCTCCGTCCACCGGTGGCGTGAAGAAGCCGCATCGTTACAGGTATAAAAAAGAAAAAGAAAAGAAAAGGAAAAAAAAAGAGAACGACGCGTCGCAAAACGATTCTCGATCGCCCGCCCCTTCCCCCGATTTGCCCCGGGACGACGCTGCACAGCGTTTTTCTAGCGGATTTCCGTGTTGTGCAGGCCCGGTACTGTGGCGCTTCGAGAAATCCGAAGATACCAGAAGTCGACCGAGCTGCTGATCAGGAAGCTGCCGTTCCAGCGGCTGGTTCGTGAGATCGCGCAGGACTTCAAGACCGACCTGCGCTTTCAGAGCGCCGCGATCGGCGCCCTCCAGGAAGCGTCTGAGGCGTACCTCGTCGGCCTGTTCGAGGACACCAATCTGTGCGCGATCCACGCGAAGCGCGTGACGATCATGCCTAAGGACATCCAGCTAGCCCGGCGAATCCGCGGCGAGCGTGCTTAAGAGGGGACGCTATGTAAAACTCGCATACATACCGTTCTCACTGCGACCATTATTATTATTATTATTATTAATTATTATTATTATTAATTACCGTTTGCAATCGTCGTGGATGAAGCACTTTCATTCCAAGCTCTATATAACTTTCGTTCTATTCACGTAGAGACACGCGCCGTAGCGTTAATCCCTCCCGGTGATTAGTCCCGTCTTCTTCAAACAAACATAGATTTCGATTGGACCTCGCGAAGAATATCGCGAGTCAGAGGCCAGTATTCGGTGGTCGGTTCTTATATTCCAGACCGTCCCTGTGAGTAACGTTCTTAAGACTGTTGCAAGCCAATCCTGTGCCGTGCATCTTAAGATGTTACTTAGGACGGTCTTGAGATACGAACGGACATGCGAATGCCAGTCGAGGGCACTTTCATCTTATCTTCCTTTTTGTTTTCCCCGTTTCTTCGGAATCTCGAACGGCGCTTAAATAAACACGGCTTTTCGATTCGCACACATTTACGTAATACCGGGCGGATATTCACACAGATTTACGCGATATATATATATATATAATTTACGCTGAGAGAGAGTTTTGTTAGATGGTTTTGATTAGATAGCGTTCGTTAGCGTTTCTCTTCCTTCACCCTCTCTACTTCTCTTCTTTTTGTCGTCATTAATGTTACGCATAACAATGTCATTATATCATTAGTACTCGGAGAAAAAAAAAAAGAAAGCGTGCATTAGAGTGTAAGACACCCTTCATAGTGACCCGATGTCGTGCTTAACGTATTAGATCTCTGTACTCTCAAGTTACATATGATTCATCATTTTTGGTCACCTAAGCATTGTGTAAAAATTTGTGTAAAAATAAAAACGCATTTCGTAAATAAAAATCTCAAGTGCGCACGACTTTTACCTTTGGCTTTATGTGAACACTCCAGCCGAGCCTGGCCCGTCCGTGAAACTCGATACGGTTTTAATTACGAACACGAAGGTGTGGCGTCGTTATAAATTTGATAAGGACTTTTATTGAATGAAATTCACATTCTCACAATAGTACAACTCGATTATGATTTTTCTATTCAGGATAACAATTTTTTTTTTCTTTTAATACGTTGCCGATGATCCATTTTTTTTCCGTAATTGCAGTTTAAAGAACTAAACTTCAGATGTAAACTCGGCGCAATCGTATCTTGCTAGCCTTTGTTATATAATAAGCGTTATGTATTATATCTAATTATTGGAATCGATCCAATCGTTTTCGTCGCAAAAAAAGTATTACTTCAATTAAGACATTTTTATTTTTTACGGAATATTAAAAAAAATATAGAATTATATATGTAGAGATTTAAAAACGCTAAAAAGTACACATTTTCACAAGGTAAATATGCACTAATTGTTTATAGACAAATGGTAAATACAAATTATATTATACCCTACGCGTTAAGTTCATAAATTACTTATTACTTGTGTAATTTTACCTACAAACGTCACAATTATTTCTCGCTTTTTAATAAATAAATGATTCTTCACTGCTACTCATATTTTAATACACGAAGCGCCCGAGGCAATAATACGGCAAGTCACATAAGTTATTACAATTAAAGTTACTATTATTATAGATTTGGAAGAATAAAATTTTAAGAATTCCACGAATTTCCCTCGTACGAGTAAGCTGCTGTTTTATTTTTTGTAACATCTACGCTTGTTCCGTATTATCGTCCTTCGCGAGATTACAAGATTTTATCGAGGCCATCGATTTCGCAAAAGGAGCACAAGCCGAGATTTTTGCTGGCTTAACAACTAAGTGGCTTAACAATCCTATTGCCTCGAGCTCTTCCCTCGTATGCGTATATTTACAATTTTCTTCCTTTTATGCGACTTTTAGTAGTGTCGCGCGGTGTCGAAGAGGGAAACCACAAAACGTCTCGGCACGATCGACGCAAAAGAGGAAAAAAAAAAATTAGAAGAGTACCTGATTCAGATATATAAATACTCGGATATACAAGTAACGATATACTCTGTTACTTTTTTATCTCTGTTACCCTCGGTTATATACATTTACGCGACAATTAATCATCGTTTACTACGTCGGTTATACGTTGCCGCGCGCGCGTGGCGATCATACATATTAATTATTATCAATGTAGCGTAACAGGCTTGAACGTTAGCGTAGTAGAGAGGTCGAAGTTGAAGTCAGTACCAGTGTATTTTCGATTATTACAGCAACAAGTTTATGCATACGTAGAGATTTCCCTCTTTTTTTTTTTAATATATATATAATAAAATATATCCTTTATTTATTGTGACCGAAACGCGGAGAGAGACGTATTATCATAATACAGATATATTGCAGATCGCAGCGGTATCGTATTCCCCGTCGACGACGTTGGCCCCGGCATCGTCGGGGAAATATCGCTCGCAATAATTACAGCGGCCATTCGACACCCATAATCTCGTACCTACTTGCGGATATTACAATGGATGATTCACCGACCCGCCGTCGTAATTATTCCGCACGATATTTCCTTAACGAGATATCGCGACAAGTGTCGTCGGCGCAGCGGTGGAACGCCGCTGTACGGCCGAAATGAATACATATATGAGAATCTATCACCCTCGTGTGTCCTCCGTGTTTAACAGAAACGACTTTTTCACGCCGAGGCACGACGGGACGTGCCTTCCCAATCTTGCGTGAGAGCACCGTCTCTCTATCTCTCTCGTCGACTAACTTAACGGAAAAACTTGAAACAGAAGTCGTTTTAAGGGGAATTTTCCGACTCTGACATTAAACATCGGGATCGCAACGGGACGTGCGGACGCGTGTACGATGCGACATTACATCCTCGCCATTTATATTCAATCGCTTACAATCGAATGTGGTTGTTGTTTCCTGTGGCCGGGCTTCGGACCTGTCGTCTAGCTCTAATCAAACAGACGCAACAATCTTTTGTTATAGCTCACGTTTATATGTCTAATGCTTAAAAGAAGAAACAAAAGAAAAAAAAAACCTCGAGCGCGAGTATATTTGCGACAGTGAACGTTTAAGGTGCAGGTCCACTTAACGTTAACACGCTTCGTGGCAACTGATTGACCAATCGAAGGAAAGAATTTTTCGGACTGATTAATCAAAAGAGATGCTTCGAAGCATTTGTAGCGTCAAGTGTGGACCGTAGTCTTAGTGATTCGACATCAGTGCCATAGATAGCCGCACAGTCGGAAATACCTCGAAATTAATTCAACATATATATTTAAAGAGAAAAAAAATGTGACATTAACAACATCTTTTTGCTATACTGTGCAATGTAAAAATAACAGCTATTCATGCAAGGAGGGACTCACAAGTGCAAGTCACATGTAGCATTTCGTATTTTGTGCGGTACATTATTTTCAAAAATTCATTAACTCCTTTGTAGATTGAGCCAAATAATCTCTCGTTAATGTAGACTCGAGTATACGACTCAATATATGGCAGTATATAAAATAAAAGGCTGGTATTTATAATCCGTTCTTATTACAAGATCGTCTTAAGTATAATATCTTAATGCCAATACAGTTCTGCGATTCGTTTGAACATTTTAAGACTGTACTTAAGATAGTTTTAAATATAGCCTTGACCATAAGTATAAGGCATTCTCAATTTACTGCATTTACACTTGGAAAGAGGCAGTAATAAAAGCCAAAAAGAACCAGGTAACGATATTAAATTAAAATTGTATTCTATATTGTGATATTATATTAAAATTGTAGATTTGTTTTTATGAAATTATTATTTGTGCTAATAAAATATCTTTTTTAATTTATTCTTCGTTAAATATAGAACGTCAATTTGTGAGAATGCTTCATATTTATAGCTTATGGCTAACAATAAGTATAAGAACCGATTATCTGTACCGGCCAAGAAAAGCATTCTAATGTATGTGAACGCTATGTTTCAAAGTTGCCTAAACATCTCGCACATATCTCATCACATTTCTACTTTACAGAACCGAACAAATTCTTAATGTAACTGCACATGCCGTGGCGCTTAGCGTCTATATATAATACATTATGTACACACACGTATTTATCGCTAAAATTAAAAATATACGTAGCTTATTACCACAGTTTTTTTTTCACAATTTCAAAACATTTTGTACTTGGTTGAATCTTTCTCTACACGCGCGCGAAATGCAGCTTTTGCTTGCGCCAATTATATAGAATGTGTATTTTGGAATTAACGACACTCACTTCGTTCTTCTATTAACGAATTTCCGGACGACTTATTTACGTAATAATTGTCTGCTAGCAAGTGAGCTTTGTGTAAAATACACAGTCATATTTATCACTAACAATGGAACGATACGAAATTGAGAGTGGTTGAGAGAACATCAGGCTGCACGCGCGTGTAATATTCTATATTATATATGTATATACAAAATTTAATTGCAACTACTTCATGTTCAAATTTATACAAATATGTACAAATCCGAACACATTGTGGGAGACGTGTTTATTGCACTTTGCAATCAAGATCTTTTTCACATTGCATGCAACACATAAATGTGTATGTGTGTGAAGAATTATTGTACATATTTATCTCGGGAAATAAATGTGTACATAAACGATTCTCGAATTTCGATAAATTAAATTAAATTTGATCGAAAATAAGATCTTTAGATAGTAGCTCCCAATCGGAAATAATGACATTTATTTTTGAACAAACTCAAACATGGCACAACATGTTCAGGAAGTACACAAAATTACGATTAAAACACTATGTTCATTGTCATTAATTACTTGTATACACTTAATTTTAACAATCGTCTAAGAAGCACGTAAGCAGACAAGCTAAAAATTTCCTAAAATGTATAAAATGGAGAGGCAAACGGTACTATATAAATAATCGTGACTGAGCAAATCGTGATAAATATAACATGACGTAAAGGGAATTAATTGCGCAAATTTAACTAAAATAAAGACTCTTTGCTATGTAAATATAAGGGCAGTCGTCTATCAGGTAGGAGTAGCCGTCTATCTCCATCAAGCTATCTCAATTATTCTAGAAAAATCAGTAGTACACAATATTGCGTAAAAAAGCCTTAAATATACATAAAAATTGAAGGTCCTGGCTCGCTAACCGTAACAAGCATAATCGATAGAAACACAACCAACGTTGTTACGCTAACAATAAGTACGATCGAGTCAGTATATCATCTACATGTATTATTTCGTATGCGGACTTTGTTCGGAATTTTTCGAGATTTCTGGTCGAGAAGCGTGCTTTCTTTAACGGCAAGATAAAAAAAAAGAGAGAAAATGTACCGTAAGGATGGATACACGACATTTGCTTGTGAGTGTGTGCAGTGTGTGCGCACGATGTGGAATAAGAGAATACAACAACACAATTTAACATGATTAAAATGTGACTGTTGTGTTACCTGTAGAGATCTTGACGCACTTGATCTTCTCGGAACGCGTTTCTGCACGTGTTCAGCTTGTTCTCCAACGCCTGCGGAGAAGAATAATTACGAGATCAGAGACATGGCACTTTTTACCAATATCTTCAGAGCTAAACGATAAGCAGCACGACAAATGTTACATTGATACAATATTTTGCGACGAATGTTGAATTAACGAGAGAGTTGCGACAGATGTGTGTTGGGATTGACAAGGACTACAAGGAGTGTTAGGATCGCGTAGAGTCATTGTTTTAATATAATTGAAATGTGGAACGTTCGGCGGTGCACATATTAAAAACCGGGATGGTGAAAGACGTGGATGTGAGTCGGAAAAAAAGCGTTTGTATAATAACGAGAAAATAAAATATCGAGACCTGATCCTTAAGGAGACGCAAAATAATTTTAATGATGAGGAGAAATCACGACGAGGATCTGCACGCGGTCGGTCTAGGTTGTTGCCGTATACACCGAGCAGACGCGTGAGTCTGGGCCGCCGATAGGCCGGTAGACGGGGTGGTATTCGTTATTTGTCCGCTCGGACAAGTGCATTTTATTCTCCTACAGCCCACACAGACCCACCTGTCAAGCTACCAAAATTCCAACTACATCACACTAACTCCCATCCACTCCAAGTGCGAAAATCAAGTTCCGACTTACTTATGATAGGACTTACTTATAGGGAATATTTACATCTGTTTTATATTACGTATATATATATAACACATATACACACACATAATTATACATTTTATCAATTTGTGATCTTTATAAGGAAAAAAAGTGCTCGTTTGTAGGAATTGATAAAAACTGAGTCCATATCGACAACGGATAATTGCTTCGTACCATCAAATTTCATATACAGCAACTATAACTCACGCGTAAATATAGAGAAACATACAAGCCATGCTTCAAGCTTAGAAAACTAGGAGTGTAATGAAAATTCTATCAAAGTACTGTATATGCTTACCCCGACTTTTCGCATAAGGTCACCGATCATGTTCATTGCCAGTATTCTGGTACAGGGTGGCAATGGCTGGTTCACATTGTTATTGTTGTTCCCAATAACACCGCCTACCATTCCATTTCCAACTAGCGAGAAACACAATAGTAAAAATTAATGACATATAATTTATATATATATATATATATATATATATATATATTTGTTTTACTTTATTTACTTATAATTATTATAAATATTATCATATTTGAGGTCAAATATAATTATAATGGTAAATTTGATAAATCTCTGTCGTTCGACACTTATATAGTTTTAATTCTACATCAAAAGATTTTTTTTCTAAAGAAGCCAAAACACAAAAAAATTAAAATACTGCCAAAAATATTTATTCAGTTACATTTAATGGATACTGTACATTATTCTATTTCCTTTTCAATTTCATAAGTTGTTACATAGTTATTTCAAGATAAATAGCGAAGCAAAACGCAGAGACGAGAGATCGTGGTCTATAAAGCTATTTTTTGTAATTAGTAATTTTCATTTCATGCACTATACGTTTGTCCATATTTTCATCCTAACCATTCGAGCATTCTTTGACGTCTGCGCGATTTGTCACATCTGTCAATTTTGACGATTGCCTTCTCGACGTGAAATGGAAAGCGTGCTTCACCTTAACGAGAGTTTTGTACAACCTACTTTTTATCGGCGACGTCGTCGTATTGTTCTGAGGTATGGTTTGTGGGACTATTTGGCTAGCGGGTGAATTCGACTCCAATTCGGCCTGCAGCTTGTTACTATCGACGATGCTACGAACTCTGTCGACCGACTTGTTGTTGTCGGTGTGATGTCTCTCGTGTACTTGTATCTCCTGCTTCAAGTCTAAAATACGACGGAAGATCAGCTGTCGTTGTATAAATATTAAGTAATAAGTATAATTTAAAAAGGAGGGACTAATCCACACAATTACCTCTAACTTCGTCCATCAGTCTTTGCACTATGACCTTTAGGCCTTCTTTTTCATCGAGTTCCGATTCGAGCAAGGCATTCTTTTCTATAGCTAAATTAAACTTAGCTTCTATTTCCTCCTCCGTGACCCTATTTATCCTACGAGACAAATACATATCGTGGCTTTTATTAACCAAACTCAAATTACTAACAAATTATTATGAGTTCACTTATAAAAATATTAAATACCTATGTGCTCTTTCTAAGTCGTCATTTTTTTGTTCGAGTTCCCTAATATACTTCAGCAGGTGCTCGTGCTGCTGCTGTAAATCCTGCGCCTTTCCCTGGAACATGGCGCAATCCGCAGACTGCTGATCTAGCCGCGTTCGCAGCTGCTCGACTTCCGTGGCGAGTCTCGTGTTCCTCTGCCTCAATTCCCTATTCGTCTTTTCCGCTTGCTCCAGGGAGGTCTCCAGCTCTTTCTCCAGCATCTGTGAATTCTCTTGGAACTCTTCCAGCTCCCGCTCGACATCGTCTTTCCTGCGACATCAAGAGACATTATTTTTAATTTCTTTACTTTAAAGAGAAATCACTATTAGCGGCTTTTATTTTATGTTTACAAAGAATAATATTTAACGAATTATCAAAAATTTATGCTGGATATGCAAAGTAATGATTCACTATTCAGTGCCCAATAAAGTAATTAACAATATAATTTGTATGTATATTTTAATTTATACGACGCAATAAAATTCTGCGTTCCAATCACATGGAAAGGAGTATACTTTTAACATGGAGTAATATCTTGGGCTATTCAGCCCCGAATAAAATAATTAACAATATAACTTGTATGTATATTTTCATTTGCACACAATGCAATAAAATTCTGTGTTCCAATCACATGTAAAGAAGTATACTTTTAAAACAAAGTAATTTATGGACTACAATAGCAACATTTTTCACTTAATTCTGTTAAATTGCACACGTTTCGTGCTGCGCCAATTTTAAATATGTATAATAAATTTTTGTGTTCCGTAAAAAGAGTAATATTTCTAAAATGGAGTAATCTCTTGGACCACAGTGCAATATAGCAACAGTTTTCATTTGATTCTATTAAAGTGCTTAATAAATTTTGTGCCGCACTGATTTTTCTTCATTCACCATTTGGATAACATGGTATTTTTGTTTGTATTTATTATATTGGTTAAGCAAAATGTAACTCATAACGTGTTTCCTTAAAAACTACAAAAATTATTACAAAGAGCAAGCTGAATGGAAAATCCAGCGCGAATCATCAACACCAGTGATTTATGTGAAACATGTTAAGGATCAAATCAATATCATTTGCCGCAATAACGACGCAGCTCAAAAAACAAAGCTTTCCAGAAAATAAGCTTGAATATTTTGAATCATTAAACTTTCGCGATATTAATTTTAAAATTCAATTGTGGGTACAATTGACAACCAATTATACAGGAGTAAAAGTATGCTCTTTCTATCCTCCTTTCTTTAGGTTTCCATTTTTCTGCGAGCAACTCAGAAATGATAACTTTGTGAAGTCGCGTCGTCGTTGCAGCAAATGATATCAATATCCTGATAACTATCGGCGTCGCTTTGACCCCGATAGATTACGATATTGCGATTCGTGCCGCTCGAGGCTCGATACGAAGATAATCTACCTTTGGAGCAGTTGGTTCGCCAGATCCATCCAATACTGAATCTCGTCGTCTTTCGACAGAAACTCCGGCGGATCCAGATCCATCATTGCTGCCGCTTTATGGACGATCGGGAGGACGCCGCGCGCAATCCTGTGTTGTCCTCCTGTTGGTCCTCCTTAACGTCCTCCGAGATGTTACAGACACGTACAGACTCTCACGCGCTGCACCCTGACATCCTGCAAGGAGGCACACAAGAGTGACAAAAGGTCGAAGCTGACACTCCTCTCGGTCGAGGATACACAAATCGTGGGAGGGGAAGAGCCCCGAATACGTTCAGGCGACGCGTAAATTCTCGTTTATCGTTTAGCAGCAGTTGGAGCCGTTAGTCGCGAGCGTGTCGGGAGCGCATCTTTCGCGCATTTTCTCGCTCGCGCGGGGCAACTCTGACTCACTGGAGCAAGAGAGCCTTCGGAGCCGTGGGAATAATCGGGAGTTGGGCACTCGGGGGGAGATGCCTCTCCTCACGAACGCGCGGCTCTCGACGTCCGCCGAGACGGGCCAACGGAATCCTCGGGCGATCACTCCGCGGGCGAGACGTAGTCGCGTGTAACGCTAATGTCATTACCGTGTTATTATGAGTCACACTGGGCTGGCGAGGAGGTGTGCAGGCAGGCGCGTAGAAAAGTCGGTGGCGCACACCGAGACGGAGCGACGGCGACGAGACTGAGATGGAGAGAGAGATGAAGTGGGAGATGGAGAGAGAGAAACATGAAGAAACACTCGGAGCGCCTTTCAACGGATGTCGTCGATTCTAGAGTCCTAGATTATCAGAGAAGCGCGACCGGCTTATGGCAGTATCGCAAAAGTACTAGAAAATATTAAAAATGGCGTCGAATGGCCAATCATAAGTTTGA